GCGGCAGGGAGCAGGGGGACGGGGAGCGGGGGGCGGGGGGGGCCCACCTGTGCAGGGCGGAGAAGAGGCTGCTGGGGCTCAGCAGCAGGGGCCCCTGGGGCAGCACGGTGCCCCTCTCGTTGACCCAGTGCAGGTAGCCCCGCGTCATGTCCGCCATGCCGATGGCTCGCGCCGAGCAGTACAGGAACTTGTACCCGTTCCTGGAAGAGAGAGAGAGATGGGGTGTGCGGCCGGTCACCCGCAGCCAGCGCCCCGGGCTCCACGATGGGGGGGGAGGGGGGAGGGTACTCACTGGCTCACTTTGTGGTATAGCTTCGCGATGCCCTGGTGGGTCCAGTCCTTCCCGAACTGGGGCAAAATGTGGCCCAGGGTGTCTGACCTGCACAAGGAGAGAAACAGGGGGGAAATGACAGAGAGAGCCCCCAGCCGGTGTGGCCCAGTGGATAGAGCGCCGGCCTGAGGACTGAAGGGGGTCCCAGGTTTGATTCCTGTCGAGGGTATATATGTACCTTGGTTCTGGGCACATCTCCAGTAGGAGGTGTGCAGGAGGCAGCTGATGGATGTTTCTAACTCCCTATCCCTCTCCCTTGCTCTCTGTAAAAAAAAAAAAAAATCAATAAAACATATTTTAAAAATAAAATTAAAAAAAAACAGAGAGAGGGCATCAGAGAAGGGAGAAAACTCCCGTTCCCGCTCACAGCACCGGAAAGGCCCCCTGAGAATGCCAGCGGGACCCACACTTCCCGGCCGGGGGCCCCGGAGGCACAGAGGGACACCAATCCCAGCGGACACCCGTGGGACGGGATGGGCTGATACGCGCAGGGCCCACCCGCGGGAGCGAGGACCGGGTCCTGGGCCGCCCTCAGCGTGAGGAGGCCACGAGGAGGCTCCGCAGCCGCGGAACACGGTGAGGCGCCCCTCCCCGGGGGCCCGGCCGGCGAGCCCTGCGGGGGCCGGGGGGCGGCGGGCGGCGGGCACCGGAGCAGCCCCCACACGGACGGGACGCTGGGCGGGACGGCCCGGACGCCCGGGGAGAGGACGGGCGGGCGGGCGGACGGACGGACGGACGGCGGGGCTGGCGGCCGGGCGCGGGGAGGCGCGGACCCACCTGGTGATGGTGCCGTCGATGTCGGAGATGACCACCTTGTCGTCCCAGTCCCACAGGTAGATGGTGCCCTCGCAGCGGCAGGTGCCCTGGTACTGCGTGGTCACGCTGAACACCACGTCGTTGGGGCCGTTCTTCAGCTTCAGGCTTTTCTGAAAGACACGCGTGCGTCCTCTGGGGCCGGGCCGGGCCGGGGCGGGGGGTGTTCACCAGAAGCAGGGTTAGGAGGTTTGGGGGGGGGGTTTGGAAAAGAGGTGAACGGCCAAACCGGTGTGGCTCAGTGGTTAGAGCGTCGGTCTGCGGACTGAAGGGTCCCGGGTTCGATTCCTGTCAAGGGCATGTACGTTGGTTGCAGGCACATCCCCAGTGAGGGGTGTGCAGGAGGCAGCTCATTGATGTTTCTCTCTCATCAGTGTTTCTAACTCTCTATCCCTCTCCCTTCCTCTCTGTAAAAAATCAATAAAATATATTTTTTTAAAAAGAAAAGAGGTGAACGTTTTTATTTTCTTTGTTGCTGAAAGTGTCACCGATGTCCCTCTTTTTTCCCCCCATTGACCCCCTCCTCCCCCCTCCGGCCCCTCCCCTGGCCTCCCCGCACCATTGTCTTCCGCGGGTTATGCAAATCTATAATCAGAAAAGTGTAATGTGCTCATTAGACCAGATGTCCTTCTGGATGACCTTCCAGACAAAGCCCGGGCTGCGAGGGAAGCCCGGGCCGGCAGCTGGGGGAAATCTCCCCCTTTTCCCCCTGAGGTGGGTCAGCCTGTCCCATGCGTCCACGTCTCTGATCTGTTTTGTTCCTCAGTTTACTCTGTCCACTACATTCCCTGTGAGTGAGGGCGTGTGACCGTGTCTCTGACCGGCTGATTGGGCTCAGCAGGATGCTCCCCGGGCCCTCCCTCCACGCGGTCTCTCAGGGTGAGCGTGCTGTTCCGTGTCGTGTGTGCACGGGCCAGTCAGCAGGCGGGGGATGAGAGAGCGGAGGCACGTGTGCACAAAGGGCCTTCGGACTCTGCCCTCACCCCGGGCAGTTCTCGCTCCCACCCCGCTAAGACGAGGGGCTGGGGGTCCTTCCAGGGCCTGGGGGGTGAGCGCACGTCTCTCCCAGTGGACACGTCCCTGGTCCGGCCGGTCCGTCACTCACACCTCAGGGTGAACGAGCTGCACCTGCTCCCACACGGGCTGCGTCAGAGCAGGCGAGGGAGGCGGCACCGAGGAGCCGGCCTGGACCGTGTGCAGGGGGTACAGACACAGGACCCCAGGAGGAGCGATGCTCTGGGATGCCGAGGTGCTGGGGACGCCCAGACCATCGCGCACGAGTCTGGGTGGCCGTACCTCGGCTGGCCCGCCAGCAGGCCAGGCCCACCCCCGGGCCAAGGCCACACACAGCCCAGGCCTATGCACAGGCCACGCCCACGCACAGGCCACGCCCATCCACACCCACACACAGGCCAGGGCCACGCAAGCCAGGCCCACGCACAGGCCACGCCCACGCACAGGCCACGCCCACGCACAGCCCAGGGCCACGCAGGCCAGGCCCACGCACAGGCCACGCCCACGCACAGGCCACGCCCACGCACAGGCCAGGGAGCACCCAGCCGCTCACCAGCTGCTCCGACGTGAGCCGCAGGGTCTTCTTGTAGCCGACGTTGGACAGGAGGGGCATCAGGGGGGCGCTGGACGGCCGGGGGGCTGCGTGCTCCTCGTCGCTGGAGGACGACTCCTGCTTCATCCTGGAACACAGCGATGGCACCATGAGGACATGCGTCTGGGTGGCTGTCAAACCGCTTCCGGCCAGAACCCACGGCGGCCGGGGCTCCCTGAGCCGCCTCCCGTGGCCACTCACCAGAGGCTCTGGGGCACCACCGAGCCACTGACCCCACATGCTCTTGCCCTCAAGAGGCTGCTCCCCAGCCACGTCCCCTCACCACCTACCCCCACTCTACGGGCAGCCGAGAGGCCCTCTCCCGAGAAGCAGGCCGGACCCTCACCTGGAGGACGCTCCCGTTCTCCGCTCCCACCCCATCCCCCCCTCACACCCGCTCCCCCCCACACCACCCCCCCACCCACCACCCCACCCTCAACCCACTGACCCCCAACTTCCAACCCCCTCACCCCCGCGCCACCCCACTCCACCCCCTCACCCCACTCCCCCACACTCCACCCCCTCACCCCCACTCCCCCCCACTCCAACCCACTCACCCCAGCCCCCACTCCACCCCCCCCCCTCACCCCCGCTCCCCCCCCCACTCCACCCCCTCCCCACCCCCGCGCCCCCCACTCCACCCCCCCTCACCCCGCGCACCCAAGCTCCCCCCAACCCCAACCCCATCACCCCGCTCCCCCCCACTTCACACCCCCTCACCCCGCTCCCCCCACCTCACCACCCCCATACACCCCGCTACCCCCCCACTCCACCACCCTCACCTCGCTCCCCCCCAGTCCACCCCCTCACCCCGCTCCCCCCACTCTCCCCGCCCCCTCAACCCGCTCCCCCTCCCCGGCCCCACCCACTCCACACCCCCCGCTCCCCCCACTCCCCCACCCCCCGCTCCCCCCCTCCCACTCACCCCGCTCCCCCCTCCACCCCTCACCCCGCTCCCCCCACTCCCCCCCTCACTCCCCCCCCCCACTCCACCCCCTCACCCCCCTCCCCCACCCCCCCCCACCCCCCCCACCCCCTCCCCCCCCCCCCACCCCACCCCCCCACCCGCCCCCCCCCCCCCACCCCGCCCCCTCACCCGCCCCCCCTCCGCCCCCTCACCCCCCCCCCCACTCCACCCCCACCCCCCCCCCCCCCTCCCCCCCCCCCCGCTCCCCCCCCTCCACCCCCCTACCCCCCCCCCACCTCCCCCCCTCCCCCACCCCCCCACCGCCCCCCACCCCCGCTCCCCCCATCACCCCTCACCCCGCTCCCCCCAGTCCCCCCCTCACCCCCCCCCCACCCCCGCCCCTCACCCCCGCCCCCCCACTCCCCCCCCTCACCCCGGCTTTCCCCCCCCACTCCACCCCCTCACCCGCTTCCCCCCCAAGCTTCCGCCCCCTCACCCCGCTCCCCCCACTCCGCCCCCTCACCCCGCTCCCCCCACTCCACCCCCTCACCCCCGCCCCACGGAGGCCGAGGGGCCTGGAGACTGAACTTCTACATGTCATCTGAGTCTGCCTCTCCACACCCACAACTTCAAGGATGCAGGGCCCTGGGCCCCCCGTGGTGCCAGTGAGGATGGAGGACTCGCCCCTCCCGGAGTCCCCGGAGGCCGTCCCGAGCACCGCGCCTGGCCGGGCCCGCACAGAACGCAAACAAGACGCCTGCTCCTCCCGGCGCCCGTGCGGGGCCGGGGGTGCGGGTGGGAGCAGTGCCTCCTCTCTAAGTGGCTCACGTGTCGCCTTCAAACACGTGTCATCGAGCCAAAACCGATTTGGCTCAGCGGATAGAGCGTCAGCCTGCGGACTGAAAGGTCCCGGGTTCGATTCCGGTCAAGGGCATGTACCTTGGTTGCAGGCACATCCCCAGTAGAGGGTGTGCAAGAGGCAGCTGATCGATGACTTTCTCTCTCTCTATCCCTCTCTATTCCTCTCTGTAAAATATAATAAAATATATTTTAAAAAAAACAAACAAAAAAAACCACATGTCATCGGCCCCACAGACAGCAAGGCCACATCAGGCCACCGCCTGCTTGCCACAGACCCGGGTCCTGTTTCCAGCCGGGAGCTTAGGAACGCAGCGGCGAAGGGCCAGTGCTGGCCGGAGGAGGCTGAGGACGGAACGCTCAGCCCTCCCCTCCGATCAACAGCTCCTGGGCCTCACAGCGGCTCGGCGAGCGCCCAGCACGGCTCTGACCGCCTGCCTGTGCCCGCGGGCCGGCCTCCCAGGTGCCAAGCGGTTAGGATGCGCATCGTGCCTTCCATTAACGGTCAGCGCTCCCTGCCCGCCGAGTAACAGCGCCCTCCCTCCCGCTGCCCCCGCTGCCCCCGCGGGAACACGGCCAGGCCGGGGCGGCAGGTGCGGGGCTCGCCCTCCGCTCTCCGTGTCCACACACAGCAGCCACGCGTGAACAGAGCCACCCCCGGCCCCGCAGACAGATGAACTCCAAGACAGAACCCGGCTAACGCTGCACAGCGTCGCCTCCACCTGCCGCCCCCGACGCCAGCTCACAGGAGCCCACAGCGCCAGGCGGAAAGCTGCGCCTGCGTCCTGGCGTGGAGCCCACAGAGGGAGGCACGCCTCCTCGGGGGGTGGAGGGGAAATGATTCCCCTCTGTGGCCGCCACCAGCAGTGTCACCGCTGCTCTCACAGACCCAGCGGGGCTGGCTCCAGCCCACCACGTCGGCCAGCCGCCGGGTCCGGAAATCAGACCTCAGGGAGCGGCCGTCCCCTCTGGTCGCTGGGAGACCTGGCACATTGCTCCCCGTCCCGCACCCAAGACAGGGCCGCTGGACCCCGGGGGGCCCTGGTGCTCGGTGAGCGCTGTGCCCGCAGCACCCGCGGGCCTGGGCCCTGGCGCCTGGCGGGTACCTGGTGGCCATGCCGAGCGGCGGCGGCTGCTCCCCGGTGCTGTGGCTCTTGCCAGCCAGGCCCTGCTCCGGCTTACTTTCCTGGGGGAGAAAGGAGGTCAGGGTGCACCGGAGAGAAGCACCAGGCAGAGCTGGGGCCCCCGAGGGGCACCCCCTACGCCCACCTCCCCCACGGCGCTGCCCGGGGCCCCGTGAGCCTGTGCGTGGAGGACACGGTGAAGTGAGGAGCACACGCCACGCTCCTGGAGCCCTGTGCGGAGGGCAGGGGGGCTGCTGCAGGCCGGGCGGGGCTCTCCGACGTCCTCACGCTGCTGGCAGAGGCGCCGGCCATGTCCTCACGCCGTGTCTTTTGGGAAAAGTGGACAAGCCGCTCTTTCTCAACGCTGCCCACTTCTCACAGACAACGCTCCTCTGGCCCTAGCTGGTGTGGCTCAGTGGATAGAGCGTCAGCCTGCGGACTGAGGGTCCCAGGTTCGATTCCAGTCAAGGTCACATATCTGGGTTGTGAGTTCAATCCCCAATAGGGGGTGTGCAGGAGGCAGCCGATCAATGATTCTCTCTCATCATTGATGTTTCTATCTCTCTCTCTATCCCCCTCTCCCTTCCTCTCCGAAATCAATAAAATATATGGAAGGAAGGAAGGAAGGAAGGAAGGAAGGAAGGAAGGAAGGAAGGAAGGAAGGAAGGAAATGCTCCCTTGATGGGCTGGAGCGCTCTGGAATTCTGAGGGTCAAGCCTTGGTTAGACTGGTTCATAAGTAGCTATCCATCTGAAATAAGTACCGCTATACTTATTTTAGAAATATTTAGTGTCTTAACTATTCCTTATTTCACGCTAAAATTCTCCTCAACCCAAACTGGTGAGAAACTGGATACTCTTCTGCCTAAGTCCTCCAACAGGCTGCCCCCCATCAGGGACCAGAAAGGCCCTCGGGCTCCGTCTCCTAGAGGGGAGAGCCTGTTTGTCCTGACCTGCCTAGCTCCCCGGACACAGCGGGCAGTCAGCACACTCAGGGGTGCGAACAGAACGTGTCCAAGAGCAGCCTGACCTTCACAGGCTCCTCCACCCGGCTCTCCCTCTGACCCGATGGGCACAGATGGGAGCCACTGAGGCTCTCACTGCTCTGACCTCCAGCCGGACCGCTGTCCGTGGGGTTTCCTCCTACGGCACCCCGACGGCAATCAGCGTCCCCTCAGCGGGGGCCTGCCCGCCCCGGCTCCGGTCCAGGCCAGACACGGGGGCACCCAGGAAGGAATCAGAGGCATGTGGTCTCAGCCCCCCGGTGCTAGAGAGAAAATGTGTCCATCTGGCACTCTCACTGACACATGTGTAACTGCAAACTCCGACAGAAGTCAGGACTGAAGGAAGGGGTCCCAGGCCGGGCTCTGAGAGCAGGGAGTGGGCCAGTGAATTCGGTGAAGAGGAAGGAGAAGGGTCCTAGGAGCACGGGGCAGAGGAAGCGCCACGCGCAAAGGTCCTGGGGCAGATGGTGCGTTCAGCCAGTGGTGCTGAAGCACAGGGGACGGGGAGAGGATGCAAAAGATGAGGCTGAAGAGGGAGCGGGGACTGGGGCACCCAGGTCCTGTGACCATGTGAAGGGCGGGGTCTGAGTTAGAGGAACCCTGGAACCCGCCACAAGGCTCTGAGGAGGGACCAGTCTCCTCACCAGAGCGATGTGGTCACAGCGGGAAGTTAAAGACAACACGCTCGAGGTGTCCTGAAGGAGTCCCATGGAGATGTCTGCCTAGCTGGCTCCTTGATACAAGGGCATCGAATATAAAAGAATGTCTGGCCAAAACTAGTGTGGCTCAGTGGATAGAGCGTCGGCCTGCGGACGGAAAGGTCCCAGGTTCAACTCCGGTCAAGCGCATGTACTTTGG